CTGCGTCTCTTGAAAAACTTTAAATTGCTATAACTCGGCTCAAAATTGCGCTAGAAACTTGATTTTTAGAGTGTTTTTGGGAGAAAAAAAGGTATTTTTAAATTTCAAAAAGAACCGATTTTTTTCTGAAATTCTTGATTCTTATCTTAAAAACTCTAATTTTGTAGTTTCTTCCTTGTGATAAATTATCATTGTTAATTAGAGAACAGAAAACAATTTAATAGGATTAGAGATTTAAAAAGTCTAGTTTGGAGGGCAGAGAACGCGCCAAAGGCGCGCCAGACCCTATCAATCTTAATGGTTCTATACCGAAAATCACGAATTTCCAATCAGTTAACTTCTTAAACTTTTCAATTAGCCTAATTTAATTGGTCCTCTGAATTGAAAAAAATACGATTCTTAGAAAAAATGTTTCCAGATGTTGGTACTGGTACGTCAACGACGGGCGTCACGGAAACGAAGGAAACGGCTAATGAGTGGAAAACTGTTCCAGCGGTGGACCGCTGAGGACATGGATCGGTAAGAAATCTGAGAATTACCGTAAAACCTGTGATGGAAGAAAAAAAATTGTTCAGAAAAATTGGAAAATTTTGAACAAAATGTTTATTTATTGACCAATTTGGACATTTAGAATCTTTCAGAGCGCCTAAGACGTTTAGCCTAGTTATCTCAACTCCTGTAAGAGATATCAAAAAGTTTTCAACTGATAAATTGTTTATCATAATATTCTATACATTTTATCAGTTGACACATTTTTTATATCTCTTCTAGGAGCTGAGATAATTGAGCTCAAACTTAACAGTGTGGGGCAGGCCCTTCTATTACAGGTTTTACCGGAGAATTTCAGATTTAAAAAAATTTTGAGACGATTCTATGTACTTAAAGTGGCTATAAGTGTTAGTAAACACTTATAGAAAATAATTGGTCATTTGATAAATTGAACTTCTTATGACAACATTTCTCAGGAATTTCGAGAAAAAAAAATTAAAAATTTAAAAAAATTTAACAATTTAAAAATATGGAAAAATTAAATTTTTTAAATTTTTAATTCTCAGATTCTGCCAAAAACTCTTCCCCATCACATTCACATTCTGCAACCTTATCTACTGGATGTACTATACGGCAAAGTCCAAGGACTGAAAATAATTTTTTTTTTCTTAAAATTTTTTTTTTCTGAAATTCTTTTTCTCCGAAACTTTGTGATATTTATGTGTCATGAATCTTTATTTCTTTCAATTCTTAATTATTTTGAATGTTTAGGATCTTTGGATTCTTTAAATATCAAAAAAAAAATACGTCATTTTAAAGGATCATTTTTAGATTTTTTATATTTTTATATTTTTAGATTTTTGACCTGAAAATGTTCCTTGTCTCTTCTTCTAATTGGACACATGTCTTCTCCCACAAAAACAAAAAAAAAGTGGGCGGAGCCTAATTCCCCCCCCCCCCCCCCTCCCGACCCATATAAAAACAACAAGGACGACACTTGGCCGTTTACTGGTTAATTCGAATTTTTGCGATTTGACAGAAAAAAGAGAGAGAGAGAGTGACAACAACTTTGATTTGATTCATTCATCATTTTCCTAACGTCTTCAGAATTTTTGTTTCTGACTTCTTCTGATTTTTGTAACGTCTTCTGATTGTTAATTCGAATCATGAAAATCCCAACGACGATTGCCGAACTGGTCGCCTCGTTTTCTGGAATCAACCGTACTCCTGACTTCAAACCAGTCACAAATTCTTCTGGAACGTGTGGAGAGACTTCTGGAAGAACTACACCCGTCCAGAAGTATCATGGAAATCGACGACAGAGTACAGTGATTACTGTTGGAGTGGTGAGTTGATGAGGCCTTAAACTTTGAGCTCACTTATCTTGGTTCTTGTGAAAGATATCAAAAATTGGTAAACTGATAAAATGTTACTGATATTATGATAAAGATTTTATCACTTGACACATTTTTTATATCTTCTACAGTAAATGAGATATAGAGGCTCACAATTAACATACTTCTTCTAACGGAAGCAAACCCAAACCGTCAACTTTGAGCTCAATTATCTCGGTTCCCGTTGAAGATAACAAAAAAAGGTCAACTGATAAATTGTTTCTCATAATATCACTAATATTTCATTCATTGACTCATTTTTGATATCTTTGAGGGGAGCCGAGCTAAATGAGCTCAAACTTGACAGTGGCTTTTCCATTACAGGCGTTTCGGTATTATCTTGCAATTCAAAATTGTTTTTTTTAACCCATGTTTCTAATTTCCTGTGAAACATATCAGAAATATGTCAACTAAAAAATTGTTTATCATAATATCATTAACATTTTATCAGTTGACAATTTTTTGATATCTTTTACAGAAAATAAGATAAATTGGCTCAAGGTTACTGTATTTCCTCTAATGAAAGCCCACCCAAAACGTTAACTTTGAGCCCATATATCTCATTTTCTGTGAAAGATATCAAACAGTTATCAATTGATAAAATATTACTGATATTATGATAGACATGTTGTCAGTTGACCACTTTTTGATATCTCTGACAGGAAATGAGACCTATGAGCTCAAACTTTGGGCCTCAATGTTGACGGGTTTGAGGACATTCTGGTTAAGGGCCTACAGTAACCACTGAACAAAAAAAAAATTCCAGGACAAAATCCCAACAGTGCCCTCGGAACCATCATCTCTTAGAAGTCCCAGCTCTTCTGGTCCAGAAGCCAAGTATCGGAAGAATCGGCGACAATCGGCACCATGCATCTCCACAATTGCCAGTAACACATGTCTAAAAGAGAAATTGAGCCGTTTGAAAAGTGCAAATTCATCTGGAGACGAGCAAGAGGACGATGATATTAAGGAGGAGGAGCCAGAAGACTTCCACGTGGCAGGAGGAAGAAAACAGTCTGTGTCTTATCGAATCGCCTGAGAACCTCTTTTTTATTTGGGACGAACATTTTTGTGCTTTAATAAACAATTTTTTTGTAGAAAGCTTTTTTCTTATCATTTGAAATGAAAATACTTTTCTTTCTCTTCAAAACGCTTCAAAAATCAAATTTCTAGCCCTTTTTTGAGCCGAGTTATAGCGATTTCCAGTTTTCGAGAGACCCAGAGAAACGAGAGTGCTCTCGTTTCTCTGCGTCTCTCCAAATCTTTAAAATGCTATAACTGAAATTTTGGAATCAAAAATTATTTTTTCAATGTCTGATGACGAAATCCATAAAACTTTAAAAACAACCAGAAAAAGATCATAAAAATAAGAAAAAAGATTTTATCACAAAAAAAATGATCAAAAATCAAACTTAATCGTCCAGTAGGTCCGAATACGTACTCTCCTCGTAGTTCATTGATGTCTTCTGAATTCGTCCCGTTTTTGTCACCTTGAATGCCGGTTTTTCGGGGATTGGCTGAAAAATAAAAAAAGATGACAAACGCCAAAAAAATTGGGATTCCAAAAATCTAAAACTTTTGAATTTTGGACAAAAAGTGAGCCAAATTATGACCGATTTTATGAAAGAGCCCGAAACATGAAAGTTTTCAAAATTTCAAAAAAAATTTTGAAATTGAAAATTTGTCACAATCAGCATTTATTTATATTCATTGAAAGTGCCAAAAAATGAGAATTTCAAAAATCTAAAAATTTTCAATTTTGAACAAAAATGAGCAATGTTATGCCCAATTTTATAATGGAACACGAAAAAAAATTCGAAAAGCAATTTCTTTGAAACCTATTCATATTTTAACTCATTCTGACGCCCTCAACCCAAAAAGACTGAATTGAAACTGATTTTTTACCACAATATCATCATCCTCTCCTTTTTGCGTGTTTGCCAATTCGAATTCCGATCGTTTTGTACTCGGAACCTCATCGTCCTGGGTCGGCTCCACCTGCAAACTTGGCTCCGCCTTAATCGTCATTTCCGAATTAATCTTATTCGAATTTTCAGAAGGTGGAGACGATTGGGTGGCTTGGACTTTTAGAGAAGATGTGGGGAGCTGAAATTGAAGAAAACTTTTTTTTTTGAAAAATTTTTGAAATTTTATTTTACCTAAAGAATCTAAGAATCTCTATCAAAATGAGCCAAAAATCAGCTTTCTACGACAATTTCGAGCCGAGTTATGGCGATTTGTAATTTTTGACGCAGACGCAGAGACGCAGAGACCGAGANGGGTCTCGTTTCTCTGCGTCTCTCAAAAACTTCAAATCGCTATAACTCGGCTCGAAATTGTCCGAGAAAATTGATTTTTGGTGTGTTTTGAAGAGACAGAAGACTTTTTGGAAATTTTTCGAAAAATTTGAAAAAAAAATTTTTTTCAAAAAATTCCTACCAAAGGACTTTTCAACGGGTTCGCTGGACTTTGCCCATTTTGGTCCTTCTCATTTTTGGCCTTTTCACATTGCTCATCTTTTTCGGCTCCCTCTACAGTATTCTTCTTTCGTTTTCCCCAAATTTTCCAGGCCAAAACTTCGAGTCCAGCCTCGAAAATCATGAAAATCGAGGCGATGAAAATGCAAAACGAGTATCTGGCCAGGGGTTTTAGTTGGTTTAGAATCCGAGAAGTGTCAAGGACGTTTTTCTCGAAAAATTGGAAAAACGACGGATTTCGAAAGTTGCACTTGTGGGCGGAGCAACAACACGCCCACCCGGTGGGGAGCTCGAGGAAGGGGAAATTGTTGGGGGAGTGGAAGCAGTGGGTGTAGAATTCTGAAAGTTTTGGTGTTTAGTTTACTAAAAGCGTCAGAATATCAGATTTCGAAAAATCAAAAAATTTTGAAATTCGGACGAAAATAAGCCAAGTTATGGCCAATTTTGTGAGAGACTTCAAAAATGGAAATAGTAAAAAGTTTTCGAAAAAATCAGACAAGAACACTTATCATGATTTTATTCATATGCATTAGAAGTGTCTAATAATGAAAACTTCGAAAATCCAAAAATTTCAAAATTTGAAAAAAAATGAGCCAAGTTATGACCTATTTTGGGATGGACCCGAAAAATGAAATTTTCAAAAATTGTCAGATACCAGACATCTTTATGTATACTCATTAAAACCGCCCGAAAAATGAGGATTCTGAATATTTAAAAGTGTTGTAGTTCGGAGAAATATGAACCAAATTATGATCCATTTTGTGAGAAACCCAAAAATAGAAAAAAATTTTTTCAAAAATTCGAAAAATTGTGATTTTTAAACAGATTGACGGAATTTAAACACATGAATTTATATTCATCAAAAGCGTCAAAGTATGAAAATTTGAAAAATCTAAAAATTTTTAGAATCGGACAAACATGAGCCAAGTTATGACCAATTTTGTGATGGACCACAAAAATGGACCCCGAAAAACAAAAAAATTTGGAAACCTAGGCTTTATACTCATTTTCTTCCTTAAATTCAGTTGATTTCAATAATTTAAATCCTGACCGTTTTGAGAATAAAAAAAAATTGAAAATTATGAAATTCCGACTAGAATAAGCCAAGTTATGACCAATTTCGTAATGCACTCTTAAAAATGGACCCCAAGAAATCTGGAAATTTTGAAACCTAGGCTTATACTCATTTTAACCCTTTGAACTAGCTGAATTCGAACATCTAAATCTCTGAAAAATTTTAGCACCTCACCAGAATTGATGTGGCACTCCAAAGGCAGTGCAAAGCTGCTGACATGTCCTTGCCACGTGGCGGAATGCGTTTCGTTGGACCCATAAAACATGACACAAATCGGTGGTCCCGTTTTCAGCTCGTCGTCTTTTCGATATTCGATAATTTCCGTATTTTCAGATTCCAGTTGGAATTTCGGCTTTTCAGCGTAAACGGTTTTCTGGGAAATATATTTCGAAATTTTCAAAATTTCAGAAAAAAATTCAGAAATTCAGAAATTCAGAAATTTGGAAATTCAGAAATTCAGAAATTCAGAAATTCAGAAATTTAGAAATTTAGAAGTTCAGAAATTCAGAAATTCAGAAATTCAGAAAGTCAAAAGTTCAGAAATACAGAAATTTAGAAATTCAGAAATTCAGAAATTCAGAAATTCCGAAATTCAGAAATTCAGAAATTCAGAAATTCCGAAATTCAAAAATTCAGAAATTCAAAAATTTAGAAATTTAGAAATTCAGAAATTCAGAAATTCAGAAAGTCAAAAATTCAAAAATTCAGAAATTCAGAAATTCAGAAATTTAGAAATTCAGAAATTCAGAAATTCAAAAATTCAGAAATTCAGAAATTCAGAAATTCAGAAATTCAGAAATTCAGAAATTCAGAAATTCCGAAATTCAGAAATAACGAAATTCAAAAATTCAAAAATTCAGAAATTCAGAAATTCAAAAATTCAGAAATTCAGAAATTCAAAAATTCAGAAAAAATCCCAAAAATTACCTTTGTCACATAACATTCCAGATTTTTAGATTTTTCTGGAATTTCAGATTTCGTCAATGCTGAAATTGCCAAGAAGAGCAGGACGTGCATTTTTAAGACAAATGTATTTTGTAAATGTGGATTTTTTGAATTAAAAAAAATATATAAATTTGGGGAAAAATCCAGGAATAATGGAATGCGTAGAGGGTGGGAGGGGATTTTAAAAATAAAAAAAAAACAAAAATTTTTTTTTTTTAATTTTTGTAAAAAAAAAGTTGAAAGTATTTTTTGGGACCTACAAATTTGGGGAAAATCATGGAGAGAAAATTGTGGAGAGAAAAACGTGTCTGCGTAGCTTAAAAACTGGGAAAACCGGAGAAAAAATTTAAAAAAATGAAAAAGAATTGTAAAAAATTTTTTTAAGTTCTGAAATTATGATTTTCAGCTTGTCTGAAAATTCCACATGCCCTTTCCATCGATAGCATAGGCACTAGCGGCATTAGTGTTAGCCTGGGCGTATTGAAAATAGTCCGTTGAGTAGGCACCTGGAAATTTTGAAAATAGAAAAATTTTTTTTTTGGTTTTCAATTTTTCAGTTTTTTTAAAACTCCAAATCATTTTCCTATCAGAATAAGCCAAAAATCAGCTCTCTAGGGTAATTCTGAGCAGAGTTATGGCGATTTGAAAGTTTCGAGCACTCCCGTTTCTCTGCGTCTCGCTAATAAAAACAAATCGCCATAACTCGGCTCAAAATTGTCCTAAAAACTGATTTTTGGAGCATTTTGGAGAGTCAAAAGACTTTTTTAAAATCTGCTTAAAAATAGTTTTTTCAAAAAAATTTTTTCCAAATTTTTTTTCAAAGCTCACCATATGGATATTGGGCTTGTGGCCGAAAACTAGTGGCACCATTATAAGTTGTTGCTCCAGTGGTTGTGGATATCGGGTCAATCGAGTATGTCCCATTTTTCTGGTCCTCTACAGATGGACTATTCGATTGCTCATCACATTCCTCTTTTATAGTGTCTGAGAATTTCAGCTCGTTGTCCGTGGTCGCTGGAGACGCTGGTTGGACCTCGCTCCCAGTTGAGCCACCAGACCCACCACCAGACGAGTTGTTTGAAGAGAAGCTGAAACAAATATTAGAAATTTTCTCGGTCCACTTTCATTCAGCATGTTTGAAAGTTTAATTTTCGGAATCGGCAAGTTTTGAGGGTTCAAGTGAGTATAAACACAACCTTATTTCAAAAAAAATATTATTTGTTTCAATTTTTTGGCATTTTCTGACTTGCGCATTAATTCTAAGCATGTTAGAAATATTTTAGAGGTGTCTGGACCTCTAGAAAGTATAAAATAATATAATAAAATACAAATTCCTGTTATTTGCTTCTTTATTTTAGCGTAGTTGGGAGGGCACCCAAATTTTTTGAATTTGGCGCCATTTTCGGATGTCCCAGTGGAAAGAAAACAAGGGGTTTTTGCCTAAGCCTATAATTAATAAAATAACGAAAAAATCTGAAAAAAATTTCAGCCAGAAAAGTATAGAAAGTGGCGAAAATCAGTTAAAATCGCACATTTTGGCTGAAATTTTTTTTTTACAAAATTCATGGTTTTTGTTTAAAATTATAGGCTTAGGCAAAAACGCCTTGTTTCCCTTCCTCGGGGACACCCGCATTTTGGCGCCAAATTCAAAAAATTTGGGTGCCCCAACTCACAAAAGGCAAAATAGGTGAAAAATGCAAATCACATCAAAAATGCTGATTGAGAATGCTTTATTTCCGAAAAACTTACCCGAGAATCGGTTTAAAAGTTCCAAATATTCATATTTCAAGTGCCAAAAACCATAAATTTTGTAAAAAAAATTTCAGCCAAAATGTGCGATTTTAACTGATTTTCGCCACTTTCAATACTTTTCTGGCTGAAATTTTTTTCAGATTTTTTCGTTATTTTTTTAATTATAGGCTTAGGCAAAAACCCCTTGTTTTCTCTCCACTGGGACATCCGAAAATGGCGCCAAATTCAAAAAATTTGGGTGCCCTCCCAACTACGCTAGCGCCGGCGTTTTAGCCTAAGCCTAAAATAAAGAAGCAAATAACAGGAATTTGTATTCTTTTATATTATTTTATACTTTCTAGAGGTCCAGACACCTCTAAAATATTTCTAACATGCTTAGAATTAATGCGCTAGTCAGAAAATGCCAAAAAAAGTCAAAAAAGAGTGCCCCCCCCCCCCCAACCAACATAGCGCCATAACTTGGTTCATTTTTGTCCAAAACTCTAAATTTTCAGATTTTTAAAATTCTAATTTTTGAAATACCAACCTATTACAAGCACTTCCTCCACTTCCCGGCTGCATGGTCTTCTTCTGCTGGCGCGCCTTTGCTCTCCGATTCTTGAACCAAACTTGTACTCGACTCTCAGGTAGTTGAATTTTATGGGCCATATCTTCCCGCATAAAAATGTCCGGATAGCGAGTTTTCACAAAATAGCTCTCCAGAATTTCCAGCTGATTCCTGGTGAACGTGGTCCGCTCTCGTCGTTGCTTTCTGGAGAAACTGGAAAATGGTAGAATTGCGTTTAGTGGAACAAATAGAGTTACGATGGTAGCTGGACAACACACATTTACCGTAGTTTATCTGGGTTACTGTAGGAAGTATAAAACTGTGTCACCTGATAAAATTTTTTTGATAATATGGTGAACATTATATCATTTAACTACTTTTTGATATCTTTCACAGGAACCAAGATAAATTGGCTTAATCTTGACATTCCGGGGTCTGGAAGCTTCTGTTTCTTACTAAGAGAATTCTCACTGAGAAAAATTCTCATTAAGAAAGATCCTTATTAAGAAAGATTCTCACTAAGAAAGATTCTCAAGTTGACGGCTTGATAGCAATTCTACTAGAATTTTCAGCGCTGGATACTGTACCCACCTCGGTTGATTCGCATTCCATGACATGGATCCCATTGAAGTGGCCGATGGACAATCGGAAAGGGATCCTCCGATGAATTGCATGCTCGACGGAAGATAGCTATGACCGACTTGTGCTGGAAGACCCAAATGGCTAGTCGGATAGGCGGATCGGTTGAAATAGGCACTCATATTGGCTGCGGCAGCTGTTGCTGTGCTCACGTTGGGGAGATAGGGCATGGCTGGCTGGAAAGTTCAGATTATCAGAGTTTTTAAAAAGTTTTTGAAAAGCCCAAAATTTCAGCTACATTTTGGTATATAGATTGTCAAAATATCTGGATTTTTAAGAAAGTTTCAGACATTTCAATTGAAAGAAGTATACCGTAACGCCTCTAATAAAAAAGGTCTGTTAAGTTTGAGCTCAATTATCTCACTTCTTTTGAAAGATATCAAAAAGTGGTCAATTGATAAAATATTGCTAATACTATGTTAAACATTTTATCAATTAACTATTTTTTGATATCTTTCAGAAAAACGGAGATATATGAGCTTGAAGTTAAGGCCGGTTTTATGGTATTTCAATAGAGAGAGAGTTATATACCAAATTGAATACCAAACTGTATTCTGAATCTTGACGTCTCCAGACCTCTTCAGGCCCTTCAAATTAACACACATGCAAAAGTTAAAGAAGGGTTACAACCACAATGAAAAAACACACCGATAACTGAAAGTACAATGATGAGGCAGAATCGACGGCGGTGGGTGTTGAATAGGCGGACGATGCCAACGATGCTCCAGAAGACACTGCAGATGAGTCGTCGAGGCTCATTGAGGATAATGGCTTTGTGTCGACATCATCTGGTGTTGCCTGAATAGGTGATAACGTACAGACACAGTTGTGAGGATAGAGGGAAAAGAGAAGTTGGGATTTTTTTTAAAATCTTTTTTACCTGGATTTGCCAGTCTAGGTAGTTGAAATTTAAATCTAATCAAAGCGCTGATTTCAAGCTATATTTTTGTATAAAATTTATCTTGATATCCTCATTTATAGCCAAGTTTTGGGTGCTCAAAGTTTCAAAGCGTTTCAAAAAATGTAGCAATTGATGGAGGTTTCTGTAAATCTCAAATGTTACATCAAGTTAAAGCCCTAATATCAAGCTTTAATTTTGTATAAAAACCTTTCCAACATCTTTATAAACTTTTGAATTATGGGCGCTCAAAGTTCTGTAATATAAACAATTTGTGCAAATTAAGTTTGAAAAACTATAACTTCGGTATAACTTAACGAATTTTAATGATTTTGACACCATTAAAAAGATAAAAATCTAGATTTTTTGAGGCCTACCGTATTTTCAACTTTGAGTAGCCAACTTTGAGCCCAATTATCTCGATTCCCGTGAAAGATATCAAAGATCTGCCAACTAGTAAAATATTAATGATTTTATGATAAAAAATTCATCAGTTGACACATTTTTCATATCTTTCACAGAAAGTGAGATAATTGAGCTCAAAGTTGATGGTTTTAATGTGCTTTTATTAAAGGAATTACTACTGCCCAGAAAATTGTTAATTTTCAACAACTCATTTTGAATTTTATAGTTTTAATTTAAATTTTAGTTGAAGCCCTTGTTTCAAACTATTGTTTGGTATAAGAATAGTTGCTGTAGTGAATGCTTGAAAAAAGTTATGCGTATATAAAGTTACAAACAGTAGAAAACCAATTTTGAAATTTATCATTTTTTAAACGCTTGTAACTTTTTTCAAATTCTAGCTATAAACATAATTCTTGTATGAAAAGAAAATTAAAAGCCAGAGCTTTCAATACATATAAAATTTGTTGTGGTGCAAATTCACAATTATAGTCAAAACTTGGCTCGAAGAGTTTAGTATCACAAATCACATGTTTAGAAAGAAGTTCACAACAACAGGGTCAATTTAAAAAAAAAACAAAATTAACAAAAAATTTTGAGAACTTACAAAATTCTGACTGTTCATGACTGCTCCTGTTGCGGATCCGGTGCCAGCAGTTCCACTGAGATTCTGGGGATGGATCTGGAAAACTTTTGAATTTAAAAAATATTTTTTTTAAAATATGTTTTAGTGCTGTTATACCCTAAGATTCTGGCCAGATACTTATAATATTATATAATTTCTTTACAAATTTATTATTTATATTTATTTTCGCTAATCCCTCTAAGATTATCCTCTAACCAGCACCTTACTGTAGTACTAGGCCATTGGAAATTATTATGGAGATTTCAAATTTCAGGAAAAAGTGTTCAAAAAGTCAAGTATAATATTCAAAATGTGCCAAAAATTTTCAGAGAAAATTGACAAGGAGAATTTTTGACATTTCTTTGATAAGATAAAAAATTGGGTACTGTAGAGAACTAGAGAAATATTTCAAACTATAAAAAAAAAGATTTTCTGGTATTTTGAAATTTCGGAGGCTCAAAATTTTCAAATTCCATTAAAAATATACCGATCGATTCAGAATTTTTGTAGAAATTCAGAAATTCAGAAATTCAAAAAATCAGAAATTCAGAAATTCAGAAATTCAGAAATTCAGAAATTCAGAAATTCAAAAATTCAGAAATTCAGAAATTCAAAAAATCAGAAATTCAGAAATTCAGAAATTCAGAAATTCAGAAATTCAGAAATTCAGAAATTCAGAAATTCAGAAATTCAGAAATTCAGAAATTCAGAAATTCAGAAATTCAGAAATTCAGAAATTCAGAAATTCAGAAATTCAGAAATTCAGAAATTCAGAAATTCAGAAATTCAGAAATTCAGAAATTCAGAAATTCAGAAATTCAGAAATTCAGAAATTCAGAAATTCAGAAATTCAGAAATTCGGAAATTCAGAAATTCAGAAATTCGGAAATTCAGAAATTTAGAAATCCAGAAATTCAACAATCCTCACTAAGAAAAGTTCTCACTAAGAAAGTTTTTCACTGAGAAAAAAATCAAATTTTCGAAAAAATAGGGAACTTCTGAAAAAAATGTGATCGCTAAAAAAAAATCAATATGTTTCGAAATTTCGAAATCGTTGCTTTTTTCAAAAATATGAAGAATTCAAAAATCAGAAAATTCAAAAAGAAAATAAAATCCACAAAATGTTGATATCCCAAAAAATACAAAAACTAAAAATGAAAACTATTTCTAAATCTCTAGTACTCACCCATGATTCTAGAAATCTTAGATTTCAAAGAAAAGTCCAGAATATTTCTTATCATTCTCCAAAAAAAAAAGTTCCCCATCACACAATCTATTCTCTTTCCTATCTCTCTAGTACCCTCTCGCTTTTCAACCCAACATACTTGAAAATCCGCTGAAAGCGGGAAAGGGGATTAGGCCTTAAATCTTAGGGTATTAACTAACACTCGAAACACAACGTGGCAAAAAAGGCCGAGGGTCCGAAACCTCGAAAAGCCGCTGCCCAAGAACGGCTCATCCCCCCCGTCAAGACCGAAATGCGATTTTCGCGGCCCCCCCCCCCCCCAAACGCATCATCCCCCTTCCGGCCGCCCATTTTTTCTCTCCGTCTCTCTCTAACTACCGACCGTACACCTTTTCGGCTCCGCCCACTTTTTTGGAAAGACGCAAGTGAATGGAGGAACCCAGAGAGGGGTGGAGTTTCGTTTTTAGTTTTGGAACTGTGTCATGGGCAATTAAACTCATTACCTTAGTACTATCTGAAAACTTGGGATTTCGGCTTTCTGAATATATGATTTTTGTAAAAATCGGTCAAAATTGAGCCTTTAAATTGGCTATAATTGCCCATGTGGGTCTTTTGCCTTATCGATCTATGGCTAGGTTTAAAGGCGTATAACTGATTCCATTTTTTATATGAGCTGAAGGTCTTAATACCATTAGAAAGCTCAGAATTTCAGCTTTTTGAATATATAACTTTTGTAAAAATCAGTAAAACATAAACCGCCAAACTGGCTGTGACTTTGAGTACAGTACCCCTAGGCGTGTGGCCCAGACTGTAAATTTAAAGGCGCATAACTCATTTCAAAATTATCAAATCAATATAAAAAATTCACCGTTAAATAGAACATTTCAAGGGCTGCAAGACAATATACAACACCTTGAAGGAAAAATGAGATTTTTAGTGATTTTCAGCTTTTTCTAGACTACTAAATGCTTCGAAATGACTGAAAATTGCCCTGACCAAAATTCATGATTTATGGCTTAAAATGTTCCAAAAATTACATTTCTTGGCTCAAAATAGTTGAAAATAGCCTCGAAATCAACGTTGTCATCTTGAAATAATCCAAAAATCACAAAGCTTTCAATCTAGGTCTGTTTTACATCTTCCAGACAGCCGAGCTCCAGACTCCTGAAAATGGTCGAAATGACCGAAAATCAAATGGAAAGTATGTTTTTTTTATATATTTTGATTAGTATTATACATTTTTTGAAAGCCCTTGAAATTCCCTATCTAACGGTATAATTTTTATAGTGATTGAAAATTTTTGAAATGAGTTATGCGCCTTTAAATTTGCCAGTCAGTGTCATCTGATATATTTCCAGGTAATAAAATGCTGCTCCAATTCATTAACCTTCCCAATTTCCCGCAAACTTATCAATATCTATTTTGTTTGATTAGAAGTGCACCAAGGATTACGGTACCCCCCAGCCCCAAATATACATAGACTGTGCTACCGTTAAATTAGTGCAAACAAACGGGGGGGGGAGCATCCTTTTTACTGCTGCTCCTCACGATTTTTCCGTGGACACGGTCCGTTTGGGATGGCGAGGCAAGAAAACAATAGAAAAACTGGGCGGCTCATCTGACCAGTAGACTCTATTTTGGGAGTAGGCTTGGGAAATGCGGTTTTTTTGAAAGTGCGAGAAGTTTTTACAGTGTTTATAGTTTGGAAATTCGGAGAGGTCTGATTTTAAGCTATTTAATAATATAAAAATATGTCTTATAGCTTTATTTTGAACTAAGTTATGAGCGCTCATAGCTCAAAATTAAAATAAAATCAGATTTTTTAGAATTTTTTTTTAACCGAATTTTCTAAATTTTCGTTTTTACAGCCTTAATTGAAACACATACCAAATTGATGCTCTTTTTTCAAGCTTTATTTTGGTTTAAGATTCATAATGATAGCTTTATTAATAGTCAAGTTACGGGTGCTCAAAGTCTTGAAACGCTTAAAAAGAAGGCAGGCTTCAGAATCCCAACTTTTCTCAAACTCCAATTTTGTTTTGTAATATAAAATTTATATTATTTTAACGCTCAGATTTTTGTCTATTTGATGGTATAACAATTATTTAAATCCTTCCAGTATGGACCAAGTTATAAATCTTTGAAGTTGTCCAGTGCCCAGCAGTACCAAATTCTCACTGTTTGTGATTTTAAAGGCGCATAACTTTTTCGAAATATTGCTACATTGACGGTTCTTATACCAAACAATAGCTGAAAAGCAGGGCTTTAATTTCATATATAAAGTATAATACAAAATAAAATTAGAATCTGAGAAAAGTGGAGTTTCGAAAGCCTCCCGCTTTTTAGCTCCTTCCCGAAGCATTCTAAGACTTTGAGTGCGTATAACTCAGCTATGAATGAAGATATATGATACCACCCAATCCAAACCCCAGACCTTCTCAAATACATATTAGTTCCACAAAACCGGTACCAATAAACAGATGCGCCTTTAAATCTAACCATCCCATCTCATCCACATTATCCACGTGGCAAAGGAGGATTCAGAAGACACAACCCTAAGATGGCCGATCATCTATCTCTACCTGATTTAGAAGGACTCAGCTAGATTTTAAGATAAGAATCTTAAAAGAAATACAATGAGACACAACTTACCAAACCGATATTGGAGACGATGGAATCCTGGTTGGTAGAAGACGTCGTCAGGGACATCTGGAGAAGAATAGGAAGACGTTGGGCTGATGATTCGAAATGAAATGAAAATGATGAATATGAAGACGTTGCTCTGACGTCTGGAGATTGTTGATCCGCAGTTTTCCAATCAATCTAATGGCACATTTGTCATATTTACTTCTCATTTTCCCTCATTTTCCTGAAGGCGTTTGGGATGAGCTGGTGGGATTTTGGGAGGTGTGGATCTACCGTATATTTTGGATTATCCGGGATTGATGTGCTGCCCAAATACATATGTACATGACTTGTAAAATTGTTGGTTTTTAATAAATTGGAAATATTGAAGAGTGTTTGGAAAGTTGAAAACAAGAGAAAGAGAAGAGGGGTCCCAAAAATTTGATCCCCAAAATTTGTCCAGGTTCATTAGGCCATAACTCGGCTAGTTCTGACTCAAGACAAATGGTTTTTATACCAAAATATTGCCCACAAATTTAGCTTTTCAATGATGTAATTTTCATAAAGATCTGAAAAGTTTCAGGTGGTGCCACGTGGCATAGAAGCAAGAAAGATCTGTAAATCGGATTTTTTGGTTTTATTAATTTGTAATTCAGTCAGTTTTTGCTCAAATTTGATGATATTTATATCAAATTGATGGCTGAAATTTCAGCTTTCTAATGATATAATTTTCATAAATCAAAAAAATTTCAGGTAGTGCCACGTGGCATAGAAGCAAGCAGGATCTAAAAAACATATTTTCCAGGTTCATTAGCCCATAACTCGGCTAGTTTTCGTTGGAATTTATTGATTCATATATTAAATTGTTGTTCAGAAGTTCAGCATTCCAGTTATATAATTTTTATAAAAATCTGAAAAAAAATAATCTGGGCTAAACGATGCAGTTTTAAGCATGCTAACAAAGGGAGCACACTTTGCCAGCTTCTTTGGTCATATCTGAACTTCTGGAAAAATTTGAACAAGCGAAATTTTAAAGTGCTCAATAGCATAAAAAATTTCCAATCGAATGTTACAAATATGATTAGGAAATATTTAGGAAATATTGATTTTCAGCAAAGTTAAATCGATTTGAAAAAAAAGTTTTCTGGTTTTTCAGTTGATTTTTGGCCATTCAATTTTCAGGAGTCCGGAGCTCGTCTGTCAAGTTTCCGATCACTTTGAAAACTTTGCACTTACAGAACTTTTTGAAAAATCTTATTTTTTCAGGTATTTTCCCCGTTTTCCGTACAAAAACCGGTACTGTATCGTAACTATGGCGCGCCAGCCAGCTGTTTGAAGCGCCGGAGGCGCGACAGACAGGCTGGTCATACTTTTCGGAATAAAAACTCTTATATTTTGAATATTGTACTTCCAATGTCCGAAAACGCCAAACCTCTAGTATTCGGAGTAAACGGAGTATTGCTAATCCTTTGTTGACTATATACTGACCACATACTGTCCCCCTCCTTCAAACGTGTTAATACACTTGTCAAACTTTTCGTTCCTCTCTTTTTGGCGGTCGGTCGCGGCCGGCCACATTTTCTGCCTCCTCTTTTTGGCGGTACATATCAATAGACACCGTTGTCTGTCTATAAACAAAAGGGATCGTCGTTCATGTGTTAAGAAATATTTGGATTAGAAGACGGACCAAGAAATGGCGGTAAATAGTGGCTTCGCCATGATTATAGGTGTCGCTTGACAGGTTAACAAGGCTTGAGAACTCTTTTTCTGGGGGGGGGGGGGGGGGGGGGGATTCTTGATCTGGAAAACCATTATTCTAAAAATCGTGTTTTTCAAAGAGAAACGGCGGAGGGACAAGCTAGACGTCTTGGAAAAAGCATTTTGCATTTTTTTTTCTAAAAAACACTGAAGTTCCCTATCTACCGTTATAATCAAAATTTAGCTAGCTTCAGTTTGAAGGAAGTTATGAAATTTTGAAAAAAAAAGTTTTTGAGAATTTTCAATATCTTCCAATTCTGAAAAAAATTGATACCACGACCTGAAATAGGCTGAAAATAAGAATATTAGACGAAATTTCAGAAAAACTCGAAATTTGAAAAAAAAAATTCTTTTTTGAATCTCAAAAAAAAATTTGGATTTTTTCAAAATTTTCAAAATCCTCCAATTCTGACTAAAATTGATATCACGGCCTGAAGTAGGCTGAAAATGAGAATGGTGAACACATTTTCAAAAAAACTAGAAGTTTGAAAAAAATTTCTTTTTTTTTCGAAAAAAAATTTTTTTTGATTTTTTCAAGATTTTCAAAGTTTTCCAATTCTGATAAAAACTTATACCACGACCCAAAATGGGCTGAAAATGAGAATAAGAAAAAAAATATCTGAAAAACTCGAAATTTGAAAAAAAAATTTTTTTTGGAATTTTTTTGAAAATTTCGAATTTTATGTTTTAAAATTCAAAATTTGAACTAATGCTGATAATTCCTATTTAACGCTATAATCAAAAATTGCCTAGGTACAGTTTGAAGGAAGTTATGAAATTTTGAATTTTAAAAAACTTTTTGCCTAAAAAAATTTTCCAAAAGTATTAAAAAACAATTTTAAGTCATTTTGTAGCTCTGGATATTCCAATTTCAAGAATATTTCTAAAATTTTTATGTTTAAAAAAGTTATGCGCCTTTAAAACAGCCTGACTATAGGGTATCTATTGACTAACCAACTTAAACTTATGACTAATCCTTTCTCTAAACTCTCTCAACTTCCCCTACTATTTCTCTACCATTTTTTCCAATTCTTCTGTGTCTATCTGTGTGTATATGAGAGTGAGAGTATAGGGGCGAATGGCAGCTAAGCACCGGCTCATCCGTACGGCTCAACGGGGTCCTAGGGGCGTTGGAGGACTGACTTTCTATTCTGTCTCTGTCGTGGTGTGTCCAAAATCGTCATTTCCTCACTCAACCATTTTAGCCCCAGGTTCTTAGTTCTTGTCTTTTTTCAATTTTTTTCTGGATTTCCTAGTCTAGACCTTTTTTAGTCGGTCCGAATATCGCAAGGGGATCGATTAATAAAAATAGCACTAACTTTTGATATTGGTTGTTTAAAATCGAGTTTTAGCTCTGATTTTGGTGTTACACTATAACAAGTTATACATCAATCAAAAGCTCTGATTTGTACTTTTAATTTGGTATAAGAACCAGTTTGATATCTGTAATTTAAATGAAGTTACAAACGTTGAAAGAAAGAAACAATTCAAAATTGGTACATTAACAACTTTGAAAGCCTATAACTTGGATAAAACTTAACTAATTTCAATGATTCTTGTACCGTGAGATAGATAAAAATCTAAACTTCAATTTAATTGTAAATTTGATACCAGAGAATTTAGTTTGCATACAGTATCCTTAGATTCAAAGCGATGCCTTCCTTAGGTGACCATGACTATAACTTTGAAGAAACTTTGAACTTCATAACACATCTAAAAATTGTCCATATGCTAGGAAAATGGTACTGTTAGATAGGGAATTTCAAGGGCTAGAAGATGAAAATTGATAGTTTTCAGAATTTATACCGAATGTTATTTTGGATGGGTTTACAAGACTACTAAAGTAGCCACTGTAAGGCTATGCCATGGAAATCATTTGATTTTCGTTATATTCAGGAGTCTAAATCTCGCTTGTCAAGTTCTCAATTTAACAGGTTTAGATAGCTCTTCAAATTCCCTATCTAACAGTATAATTTTCATAGTGATTGGAACATTTTGAAATGAGTTATGGGCTTTTAAAGGTCCATTCAAGGTCACCCGAAGAAAGCATCGCTTAGAATCTAGAGATACTGTACTTTGAGACAGTATTCAAATGCCAAATTTACTATCAAATTGAAGCCTAGTTTTTTATCTATCTACCGGTATAGAAATCATTCAAATGTGTTGGGTTATATCCAAGTTATAGCTTTTCGAAGTTGCCAATATATAGACTTTCCTTAAGCCTATTTATTTTGATAGCCCTTGAAATTCCTTTTCTAAAAACTTAGAAATGAGTTATGCGCCTTTAAAGTTATCTAACCATTATTATTCAAATGACTACTCCAACTTATTCCTAACTATTCAAACAAACCCATTAGCGTTATTACGGTTACACACACCCTAACACCTTAATACGCACCTATCGTGTCTTCCCCCATCCGGTATGACGCAAGAAGGTGTCCTGTCACTCAATGATACACCTTATTATTTTCTTGACAAGCATATCTTTACACTTTTTGGGGTGCCTTGTGTGTGTGTGTTGTGCAACAAAATGATTGTTATCTGTCAGATTATGCGGTTTCGTCATGGCTATGTGTGGCTAGGTAAACGGAACAGGGGGGGGGGGGGGTTTGGGACTCAAAAAAATCGGGGTTAATTGAAAAATATTAGCTTTGTAGCTCTTGAAATTTCCTATCTAACCAAACTTTGAAAAATTTAGGGAAACCAAAATTGGAGATACCGTATTCGCTGTAATTCTGTCCCACTCTAATCATGCCCATCGGAACCGCCAACTTTGAGCTCAATTATCTCGATTCCTGTGAGAGATATCAAAAATGTGTCAACTGATAAAATGTTTATCATAATATCAATAATGTTTTATTTGTTAACAAAATTTTGATATCTCTTATTGGAACCAAGATAATTGAGCTCAAACTTGACGGCTTGGATGGGCTCCTTTTAGAGGAAATACGGCGGGCTAACATTCTTTTAAAAATTGTTTATCATCATTTTGTAGCTTTCCCATCTAACCATAAAATTTTAATTCAAATAGGTTAAACTCGAAACTAGTTATACGCTCTCGAATTTTAACTGCTCCTAATTTTCTGCAAAACAGGGGTAGTTCCCAAAAATCCCTCATATCATTAGGAATATCAATTTTTATTAGCAGCGGTTAATTACTATTTCAAAGCTCTTAAAATTTTATATTTAATCATGTAACTTCATTTTAAGTAGGTTTGATTTTAAGCTAGTTATAACATCTCAAAGTTTGACCTTCTACAAAATCCGCAAAATCGAAGTAGCTCCCAAAATCACTCATTTCATGTGGAAGATCAATTTTTCGCTCG